GATTTTAAATTTGCTTTAACTGCAGCTTTGCCTGTGCAACTTGTCCGACAGCTGATAAGATCTGAAATGGATCAAAGTGCAGCTCACTGGGAGTCTGGTCTGTTGCCTCCCTGGTGTGTCTCTGCAAATCTGACTCAGGCGTGTGGTCAGGGCAGGTCCCACAGAGGAATGCCTCCATCATTAGCATCAGGAGGAAGTCATTAATTAGTGAACGTGAGAACCCTGATGAAGGTTTCAAAGAAAGTTAACAGAGGGGAAAAGAATGCAGACAGGGCTGAAAAAACACAGTAAAATCCGACTCCCAGGCAGTGACAGACAGGAGGTGTTAAATCGGTAATGTCCCTCACAGGTGTGATGAGCGTAACAATGATTGATGAGCTCTGTCATCTGGAATGGCTTTCAGGGCAGCCCAGCCTGATAACTGCAAAGCTGCGCAAGAAACAGCCCCTGGTGAACTGTGTTGCCAGGGTGTGTCTATCTGGAATCTGAGGACCGAAGTCCGGGGTGGAGTGGAATGTACAGGAAGAGTGTGGAAAAGGGCTCTCGACTCGGAATGTGGGCGATAGGTCGACTGGCTCTGTCCCCTGCAGTTTCCCGCAGTCTGGGAACAGCAGGGGTCACAGACAGGAATTACACAATCTCCAGGCCTTGAGGGCGTAGGCACTGCCTGTGTATGAAGGGTTAGGGTTATGGCAAATGGGGTTAAAGATGGGGAAAGTGGGGTTAGGGGACAAGGTTATAGTGAATGTTGGGTTTTTCAGAGAAGTTCTTTTTCCCCTTTTTTATTCATGCTTAGAACAATCAGTATCTTTTATCCAATGAGGTTGCGGTTTCAGTTGCAGTTACCTTGCTAAATGAGGCACCGGTGGAGGATTGCTGGAGCAGTTTGTGGGGTCCAGCAGCCCGGTCCCCTCCTGCCTTTTGTACCCACACATGTACAATCAGGGGTGCAGGGCGGTGACCCCCGTGCCACACTGCCCAGCGCCCCCCCCAGCGGAGTCCTGTGCTCAGACGCCTCTCCTCTGTCGTTGGGCACCAGGCTCACCGGGCCGAACCCCCCCAGGAAGGAGGCGAGACCTGTCCTGGCCGGGAGCCCCAGGAAGGCCGTGGCCGAGGCGGGGCGCGAGATCGACACCAGCCCTGCCTGGACAGCCGGGGGGGCTCCCGCCCCCCAGCATGGCGCCAAGAAGACCCCACAGCTGCAGAGACAGGGGAGCCTGGTCACCCTGTCAGGTGAGACCCCCTC